AATAGGTACGTTATCAATTTCCAAAATAATCATGTATATCACTAGGACGGGTGATCCATAATACTCTTTTACTTTCCATTGACTAGCCTTAGCTCTGGCAGACAACATTTTATCATTGTAAATAAAGGTTTGTGATAATTGAAGTAAAGTTTCTGCCTGTCTTTCAGTTAAATTTTAACTGTTGAAGTGCTTCACTTATATTAATTAATTATACCACTCTGCAAACTTAAAGGACCACTCTAGGCACCCAGACCACTTCAGCTTAATGAAGTGGTCTGGGTGCCTGGTCCTTCTAGGGTTAACCCATTTTTTCATAATTATAGCAGTTTCAGAGAAACTGCTATAATTATGAATGGGTTAAGCCTTCCCCCTATTCCTCTAGTGGCTGTCTCATTGACAGCCACTAGAGGCGCTTGCGTGCTTCTCACTGTGAAAATCACAGTGAGAGCACGCAAGCGTCCATAGGAAAGCATTGTAAATGCTTTCCTATGCGTGGCTGAATGCGGCGCGGCTCTTGCTGCTTGGCGTGCGCGTCCAGCCGAGGCGGATCTGAGGCGGAGAGAAGGAGGAGAGCTCTCCGCCCAGCGCTGGAAAAAGGTAAGTTATTACCCCTTTCCCCCTTCCAGAGCCGGGCGGGAGGGTGTCCCTGAGGGTGGGGGCACCCTCAGGGCACTATAGTGCCAGAAAAACAAGTATGTTTTCCTGGCACTATAGTGGTCCTTTAAACGAATATAGAATAGTTTCTGATTTAATAAAAACATTTTACATTTTCTTCTAAAGTTTAAACATTATTCATTATTGCAGTTGTTATTGCAATCATATGATCTTTAACTATCATGATTCAATTATTCATATGGATAATCAGCTACTATGCTCTTATACTTTATGTCTAATATATTTGTTTGTAGGCCAGACTGCAGCTGCATATGGTAATTTAGCAATAATTTTACCACATGACAGGAGGCTTCATATTTGCATATCTTTCTTTACTGAAAACTCCAGCAGCATAGAAACAGTAACAACCAATCAGAGAAAAGATATGGTGCCCATAAAAGGCCCTGTCTATGACATCACTTCCTCTTTCTTTGCTGCTCCAGCCATCAACAGGTCAGAGTAATTATTACCTCTCTGTCTATATACATGTCTTATCTTTTATTGCCATAATCTATTGTACTTTAGTCACACCCTGTCTACCTATACCTGTCCCTTTCCCTTCCCGTATACAGTTCCCCTGTTTCATCGGATTGTGTTAGCCTTATTGCATTATTGTACTTGTTTTTTCAGTCCGGCGGGCCGCAGGCGTCACGGCTGTCCGTGCCGCGCTCACCGCGCGGACCTGCACTCTCTACATACAGGGGGCTGGGTGGGGACGGGTGGAGGGTAGCCGGGGTTAATTTTCTCTTTTGCCGCGCTTTTCCAGCCCGCTCGCGGCGTGTAGCGGGTAGTGCTTGCGGCTCGCGAGACCCGCGACGGCCTCCCTACCTTCACACACGACGGTTCGGGAATCACCCGATCGCCGCAACGAACGTGGGGGATTGCCCTTAGGGCATTTATTTCTCCCCCAACCCTCAATCACTAGCATTTGGATTTACTATTTATGTAACCCTTCCACAATCTGTCTCAGGACTTTCCATACGGTATCAATGTGAAGGGTGAATAAAGCATGCACAATTTATGATGTTATGAAGGCTGTGAATATCAGTGTTAGACTGAGCATACTATTTAAAGGATCCCTGCAGGGATATATATAAAATATTATATCACCCCTCAGGGGATTTGGCACTACTATACTCTTCAAAGGGAAGATCATACCTGTTACTCTACACAGGGTCATATTATACTACTGCACCCTAGGGTGCACGCTGATGTGGGTGTCCTCTGGGTATTTTTTCATGGCACACCACCGGGGGTGACCCCCCCAGACACGCATGCTAGGGCGCTACAGCCCATTTCAGTTGATGTGGGTGTCCTCTGGTTACCACGGCACACCACCCGGGGTAAACCCCGAGATTATGCACAAGGGCCTACGCCTAAACGCCAAAATTCACGCATAGCCTGAATTTATTAATTACGTGCATACTAAGCCTTCCATATATATACTTTTTACCGACTGCACACATCCCAGTCGTGCTAAGAGTCGATCAATGTATGCATGTGACTTCCCCCACGACCTGTCCACTGAACCTTGTTTTCACCCGATAGGTCGAATTACACCACAGATCATGGAAGATACCCAAACCAGCCAAGACTTCCAAGCCATGATCAATGCCGCCGTGGCGGCTTCTGTGGAAAAGGCCCTCTTGAGGGCACTACCCCCCAGCCGGGAAGCCACAAGCCCACCAGAGCGCACGGAAGCCTCGGGCTCGGAGGTGTCCAAAGCCAAGAGACAAAGAAAGACTTCAAGTCCACCCTCAACCAAGACTAAGGGCAAGCTACCCATCAAACGCGTTAAAAATGCGGACCGCCAGCCCACCCCCTACCCACCTCAATCCTCGGACGAGGAGGACACCTACGTCCCACATGCCTTAGACGTAGTGGACGAGTGGCACGGAGACGGCTCACATTCGGACGACGAGGAGTGGCAAGACCTACTACCCATCTCATCGAAGTACGTCAAAGAGACCTTCGTAGACAGCCGGGACATGGAATCCGGCGGGGACCACCACACCGCTCAGGCCGAAGACGGTGCATTCCTGGACGACCAGGGGACACTACTATTCGACCCACGCACCATCCGGCACCCACGGTCCTCAGAATGGACACTGCCGGATCACTTGACGAAGTTTATTCACTACTGGCTGCGCAAACCGCTGGAAAAAGAGGTACGGGCACGCCTCAGGGCCGAATGCCCCAGGCCACTAATTCCCGATAAAGTGGCACTGACGCCCGAATTCGATGACACGATGGTGGTCTTCATGTCACGCACGGGCAGGGACCCGCGCAAAGGGGTGGAGAAAGGCATGAAAGCGGCACAGGACAAAGTGCTGGATTTGCTCGGCCCCATCGCCAAGATGCTATACTTTGCTGACCTAGCCCTCAGCCAAGACTCCCAACTAGACCCACACGCCATACGAGAATGGGCTCAACGCGTGGTGTGCCTACTGGGCAACGCCAACGCCGCCCTTTGCGTCGAGAGACGCCGGTCGGCTCTGATACGTATCGACAGCAAGCTTCTAGATCTCGGGGCTAAAGAATTTGGACCGAAAGCCCAAGGCTTGTTGTTTGGTGATGCCTTCATCATGGAACTCAAACGTCATGTGAACCTCTTCACCACCTTAAACAAGGCCCAAACCTCTCTCAAACAGGTGTTCCAGAGGTGTTTTTGGAAGGGCTGGTCGGCAACGGAGCCGTGCCACCAGCCGATTTTGGGCCTCAGGTTCCAGATCATATCCGCAAGCCTCAAATTTCTTCCCCTTTTCATCACAAAGACCCTCAACATACCGAGGAACTGGGAGGACCAGAGGTTTCAGAGGCCGTGGACGCGGCCGCTTCAACAATGGTGAGTCCCTCTACACACACCGATGCACCAAGGTTTATTGCAGGCAACATATCTTTTTTCTTCCAGAACTGGGAGCTGATTACCAGGGATGCCTGGGTCCTACAGACAGTACGCGGTTTCGTAATAGACTTTGTCGCGCAACCAGTCCAAACCGCCCCCCTCCCCCGATCCACATGTCGTCAGAACAAAACCGCCTGGTGGACGAAGAGATCCACGCACTCTTCGAAAAGGGCGCAATTCAATACGCACCGCATGGGGGAGGCTTCATGAGCAACATCTTCTTGGTCAAGAAAAAGACGGGCGAGTATCGACCGGTTATCAACCTCAGGCAACTAAACTCTTTCGTAATCTACAGACACTACAAGATCTCCTCGTCAAGAACGACTGGTTTACGTGCCTGGACCTCAAGGACGCGTACCTCACGGTTCCGGTGCACAGGCACTACCGTCAGTTCCTCCGTTTCCGATGGAGAGGACGGGTGTGCCAGTTTACGTGCCTACCATTCGGTCTCAGCTCGGCCCCGTGGTGCTTCACGAAGTTGCTGAGACCAGTGATGGCTCACCTCCGTACAAGGGGCATACGGTGTCTCGTGTACCTGGACGATTTGCTGATTTTTTGCGAATCCGCCTCCAGGCTACGATCGCAGACGAAATTTGTAGTTCACTTGCTAGAATCTCTGGGGTTCATAGTGAACAGACAGAAGTCCTCTCTCTCTCCATCCCAGTCAGTACAATTCCTGGGCTTCGACATCGACTCGAGGGAATGCGTGCTCAGCCTTCCCTCGAAAAAGATTGCCTCAATAAGGAAGGAAATCAGGCGGACTTTGAGGATGGACACGATACCGCTCAGGATGCTCGCTTGGATTGTGGGACTCCTGTCCTCATCCATACAAGCGATATTCCTGGGCCCTCTACACTACAGGGCCATGCAACGGCTGAAAGCGGGATATCTGCGCACCGGATATTCCTACAACCACTGGATCCCACTCACTCCGGAGGTGAGGTCGGAACTGCGATGGTGGTTACTTCACATACAAGCCTGGAACGGCAAGGCGATCTTCGGTCCCTCCCCGGACTTCATCGTGGAATCGGACGCCAGTTTGTGGGGATGGGGCGCCCACTGCTCGGATGCCTCCACGGGGGTATCATGGCAGGGAGAGGAGACCAACCTACACATCAACTGCCTGGAGTTGATCGCGGGTTCCTTCGCCATCCGCAGCCTGGCCAAGGACAGGTCGAATTGTTGTATCCTACTCCGCATGGACAACATCTCGGCGGTGCAATACATCAACCGCCTGGGCGGAGCGAGGTCGAAAGGCCTGACCGAAGCCACAAAGGACATTTACAGTTTCTGCCTACGGAGGAACATCACGATACAGGCGGAATACCTCCCAGGAGTCTCCAACCTGACGGCGGACTGGTTTTCCCGACACTGGAGAGACACCAGCGATTGGAAACTCAATGAGGAAATATTTCAGACACTACGGCGGCGGAAGGGGCCACTATCAATAGATTTGTTCGCCTCCAGGACCAACCATCAACTTCAAAAATACTACAGCTGGCTCCCGGACCCGATGTCCAAAGCAGCGGACGCATTTCTTCATGACTGGCCCTCTCACGGGGCCTACGCCTTCCCTCCATTCTCTATGATTCCACGGGTACTGCGGTACACACGCACTCACAGGATATCGCTCCTGCTCATAGCACCTCTCTGGCAGAGTCAACCGTGGTTCCCGGACCTCCTGGAGATGTCCCACGACCATCCCATTCGGCTTCCGACCGTTCCACTCCTCCTGTCGGGACCTTGGGGGGAACTCCATCCCCTCGTCCTGGGAGGACAACTGGAACTGGTGGCCTGGACGATTTCAGGGGCTCCTGGTCGGTCCACGGCCTATCGCAATCTACTAAAGACCTCCTGTGGGACTCATGGGCTCCTGGCACCAGGAGATGTTACATCTCTGCCTGGTCAGCCTGGAATGATTGGTGCGTGGAAAGGGATTCCAATCCCTTTACTGCCTCTGTCCCACTGATCAACTATCTCACTCATCTTTTCTCGACGGGTCGATCATATAGATCCCTTAACGTGATCAGATGGGCTATTTCAGCGGCGCACGTCCCAGTTCAAGGCAGGCCATTGGGTCAAGACCCGCTGGTATGTCGTCAACTGCGGGGCGCCAGACTTACGAGACCCCCAGCACCCAAATATTCCAGCCTCTGGCAAGTTAATGGGGTGCTGAATTTCCTTCGGGGCTGGCCGGACAACCCCTTTCTATCGCTGAAACAGCTCTCAGCCAAACTGGCCCTTTTGCTATGCCTCGTCTCTTTCCGACGGGTGTCAGACATTAGGGCGTTTGACGTGGACGGTTTCTCCCTCACCCCGGAGGGAGTCACCTTTTCCATATCAAGACGGACTAAATCGGATTTGTCCTCGGTGACTTACCCGTATTTTGAATCCGACCCCAAGCTATGTGTGGTCAAGACACTAATGAGGTATACGGAAATCAAGGCCACCCTTCGGCGTACCCCGACGGGTCAGCTACTGATTTCTTACGTAAGGCCTCATGGACCGGTGCCTACTACAACCCTGGCCAGATGGGTTCGCTGGCTTTTAAGGTTAGCAGGAGTCGACTCCGGCTTCGGAGCGCATTCGGTCAGAGGGGCGGCAGCATCCCAAGCCTTCTTGGCAGGCGCCTCCCTAACCGACATCATGCGTTGCGCAGACTGGACACGGGAGAGTACGTTTAGGACGTTCTACTTCCGTCACTCCTCTCATGCTTCCTTTACACTGGTCAGGGCTAAGCTTTAAAAATGCAAATATGAAGCCTCCTGTCATGTGGTAAAATTGAAGATTATATTAGCTTTAGTGTACTAATAATCTTAATTTTAGTAATGACAGGAGGCGAATATTTCCCACCCGTTGGATCCCGCCCAGGTGAGTTTGTACTATACAGATTGTGTTCGGTGTTCAGGAAGACATACATGTTACGATTGTATTACCTCTTAGGAGTACACATGTTCAGTACCGTAGTTGTATTCTTGGTCGTACCCCTTGCACTATATGATGTTTCTCCTTATCGCATGTCTTAGCTCGCAGGTTTATTTATTTAAGTATTGATAGTTTTCACAGTATAATATACACTAGGATGTCTTACAGGTTTTCGTAATATTTATGGTATGCGGACACGTTACCACCTCAGAAACCTTTCACCTTTTTCTTTTTCTTTCAGCGTGAACGTCTTCTCTACGGGACAAAGTTTCACCTTCCATACCGTTTGACCATGGAATTGCCGGAATTGGGTTCTCTGCTACGTTTGTTGAAATGTTAACGGACTATGTTTATGTTGTTGCTGTTTATCATTCGCTTCAAAGAAAGAGGAAGTGATGTCATAGACAGGGCCTTTTATGGGCACCATATCTTTTCTCTGATTGGTTGTTACTGTTTCTATGCTGCTGGAGTTTTCAGTAAAGAAAGATATGCAAATATTCGCCTCCTGTCATTACTAAAATTAAGATTATTAGTACACTAAAGCTAATATAATCTTCAATCTTCAATTGTGTTTCAGATATTCACAAAGTCTATCCACCTTTGTAATTAACACATTATGTGTTTATCTTATACCATTAATTATAGTATCTCTATTATATTACACATCGTCACTGACACATTTCTGATATAGGGAAAAAAATAGCATGATTGCTTTAGTAATTATAATTTTCGGTCCATGCACCACATTCCTGGAAGTCCAGAATATAGCAAGAATCCTTTGTCGTTTGATTCTATGGAGCCATTTAACATTTTGATGGGTATAGTTATACCAAAAGAGCAAGTAGTACATCGGTAGATCACATCTGCAACAGAACCATTAAATTCCTTGTTGTATCAATGTCTCTGTGTTTATGTTTACAGGAGTTCCTTGCTTTGCAGATATTTACATAATATGTAGAGTTTAAGAAAAGCTGCAAATCATGCTTTAGTACAACTGTCCCATGATGTCAGGTTTCTGAAAGGTTTTGTTGGCCTTTTATATTCCATTCTCTTGGCAGGGCATCTGCTCCTAGTAAGCCGGTCTTGTTATTATTTATTAATTGCATCAAGGTTTCTTTCATTAATTGATGTGTTTTTTCCGAATTCAAATTCATATGCCACCAAATGTCATTGTAAAGTTCATTGTTACAGAATATTGTTCCAGGATGGTTTTTCACTCCAGTAGGAAATCTATATTCCTCTTCTTCTGCTCCTTCCTATTAACCACTTTTTCTGAGTTGTCGGCAACAATCTGTGTCTTGTACTGTGAGGTGCTTTGATAGTCAATCTGGTTTTGTCAGTACCATGTCCCATTTTGAGAAACAGCTGGGTGTTGACAGTTACCAGCCTTTATTTCTTTTTCCGGTCATCTTCTGTCTGGAAACATAATAGCAATGTCCAAAATTAGCATAGCACTTCTTTTCAGCATAAGAAGGCTGTTTGCGCTAGTCATTCAATGATAAACTATATGGCAAAGCATCTGTCTTGTCTTTTTCTGTTTTCATCATGCTTTGCCATCATCGTTGAGTCCATTATTAGGATTTGTAATAGTCCAATCACATCTTTCTCATGTATAATCGTTTTGTTTTTTTTAATGATCTCAATAGGTTCCTTGTGAGATACCAGTGTAGGTCACATTAGCAATCATTTCACTGTGAGCTATGTCTCTCCTTTTGAGATAGTTCTTGGAGGTAGTCCTCACGATCAAAGAACTTATATAGTGTGCAGTCCAATTCAGTTCAGGTGCTTCCTGCTTGTTAACATAATTCCAATGCAGTTTTAAAATGACAGCTAGGGTTGATATTATGATAATGCTGCAGATTGTAAAAAGGAGACACCATAACCAATTTTCTAGCATCCTTTTGCCTGCATCTTTGCATTTCTTTCTTACTGTACAATAATTCAGGTACAGTCTTTTCTTTTCCAGAGTCTTTCTGATAATGATGTTGATGATTCATTTTTCATACATTCCACGTTAACTGTGAATGTATCACGTCTGTCTGTTCATCCTTCTCCTTCACATTTGCAGGTTCAGATGTCAGATCATGATTCAGTCTGTTACGTGGCTATGATTCTGGTGGCTGTGTTTTGGTGGCATTTCTATCGTCCTCTGTTTGTTTATTTTATCTTGTCATCTTTAACAGCATCCATTGTATCAGTCAGTGGCTCTGTGAATGTCCGGTTAGCATTTAGCAGGTTGTAAAATATCAAAACTTACTGTTCTCTGTTGGCTCTGATTGTTCTCTGTAGTAAAAGTTCTCGGAGTCACCCTCTCCAGGACAAACTGGCCAACAGTAAGAAAAAGTTGGTGGTGCAAGGCGAGGTGGGCAGGAAAAAATAAATCTCTAAATTTCTCTAATAGAACCAATGGTTCTAAGCTCTCCCTGGTGCAGAAATATAATTGTCAGTGAAAAAACATGTAACATTTCATATGGTGTCTCACCATTTGTATCATCAGGTATGTTGTGAATGCTCATCTGTACCATAGGAATAAATAGATACCACTGTGTGGGGCAAGCAACTAGTAATTTGGTTAATAATCATTTAACCTCAGCATTTTCCCAGACCACAACCCCACTTCTTTGAGGGTGGTTGGCGCACTGAAATCCCAAAGTAACCCAAATGTGGTTGCCCAGTTTTAGGTTTCCTTTGCAGTAACTGCAGGACCACCATCCAGATGCATGGTCCTGTGATTATCAAATGCATACTAAGGAAGTGAGACTAGAAAACATGGCATCAGAGGTTGCACTTCGCACAGGATATATCCAAGTAAACCTGGTACATGCATCAACACATACAAAAACGTATTTATAACCATGAGATATTGGCAAACTTCCAATATATAGTAATTCAAAAAGTATGTTAGATATTAATATTTCAATAAACAGTACACCAGTAATGTGACAATAAGCAAATGCTTATGATTACTAAACACATGAATTACAGTATTTCTCATATCGGATCACCAATATTCCTTTTCAGGAGTCAGAAGTACATTACCTCTCTCTATAAGAGCTTGTCCTAGCCATGAATAAGCTTTTGGGCAAGTCTATCTTTCCTCTGTAGGAAGAACAACCAACATATTACCTTCAATGGTTATTATGTAATTAACCCCCTAAACAATAGGAGTATTTATGCGGATACCAGGTGGATAAGGTCTGGATATCCTTGCAAGCATAAACTCTGCATCATGACTGAGAGATAGGGTATGCGATGTGATCCAGTGACCAAAGAAAAGCGTTGGTAGACACATTGCATCAAAGTGCCTGTTAATGACCAACTATATGAGGAGAGGGACCATGCTTTGTTATATCGTAAGAAAAACAGTTTGAACACCAGACTGAGATTCGAGATCAGTAAACAGTGGACCAAAATAGATAAATTAAATCGTATCACTTAATATACTTTCAATATACTTTCTTTAAATTACTTTATCCTCTGTATTAACTATGAAATATTAAAGTTAAAACAATAACATTTAAAAGCCAACTTTTAGTGTGGATAGGAATTACAAGGCCGTTCACAATGTGAGATAAAGAACAGCTTTTTTTTTAAAAAACGAATAGTCTGAGAACACAAAATGACCTTGCGCTAAAAATTCACTTGCAGGGGAAAAAAACAAAACTTACTTTTTTTTAGTAAATTAATTAATTAAACGTAGTTAGAACCTCCCTCAAAGTCCCGATTACTTTGCAAGAAACATGTCATCCTTAACTACTGGGTAAGTCTATTAAACAGTGAAATAGCATTTTTACCCTGTATATCATGTTGTCACAGCTATAATGTGCAGAATAACAAACTATTTTATAAGTGTTGTGCAAACTGTTCATTAAAAGCCACTGATCTAGCAAGCTATAGAACATTTATTTATTTATTCTTTAAAGCTCTGACCTCAATCGGCAAAGCAATATTGTAATGGTGTCCATTGCAATCTGCTATCTATACTTGCTGCTCTCAAAAATTCTGAATATGTTCAGAGATTTCTTGGGCAATAATAAATCCCCCCAAAAAAAACAACTTTGCCTTTATTCTAAACCTGCCTGTTGTAAACATATTCTGTATATTTCTTGTCATATGTACTTGTACTTAAATATGTTTAACAAAGCTGTTTATACTGTGACTGTTTATATTGTGGTAAAAATATATATATATATTTTTTATTATTATTATTTATTTTATTTATTTATTTATTTTAACATTGCTTAATTTTTAAAGATACCTGCATATTTAATTAAATATCCTTTATATGTCTCTAAAGCATAAAATGTCTGCAAATTAAGATTATATACAAAAATGCATGTTCTGGGTGTTCGCCTGATATATATACTTTTATTTATAAACAACATTGATATTATTAATTATTAATCTTATTTTATATTATTTTATGAAAACCTAGTTTATGAAATTCACTGAGATTACATGTGTCTGATCTGATTACAGTATTACAGTCAGTATTACAATATCATTGTTCTAATTTCCTTACTGCAGGTACAGTGGGATAGTACCACTGATTTAAGTAAGCTTTCCCTTTTAAAATTGGTGGACTTTACTGCCATTGCAATAGACTAAAGACTGTACCTGAGTAAGCAAAGATATTATGTGCAGGAATTGTGCACTTTAAATAGTAGAATACATATGCAATTTTAGTGAATTGGGCTGGCTGCTTAACACATCATTTAGTATCTTTTGGTCACATTTAAAGCTGTAAATGTATTTAACATTTTATTTAAATAGGCCTTTAATAATTTCTGTTTAAAAGCTGTCAGAGATCCTGTATAGTTACAATTTTATTTAGATTTACAGATTTATCTTACATATACATTATTTTTAATCATTTTACAAATATTTATTTTTGCAGAGCATTTAGAGAAGCCAAGGATGTATTATACGTGTTGCCCTTTTTTCTAGGAGGGTAGTATAATTTCAACTCTGTTTAGGAAAAAATATGAGCTAGTTAGCATATACTATATAAAATATATGCTGCAGTGTACTGCATTGTACTGCACTGAATGTATTTAAAATCAATGTCTTTCTCTTTATGGCTGTATGTAATAATGTTGTTCATAATTTGGAATATAAAACAACAACTGTAAAAAATGTAGATGAATGGATGTTCATGTAGACTCTTTCTTAATTTCTTCTTGTCTTCAGTTGATTGATATATATATATATATATATACACGTCTTTTGTATATATATTCTTGGGCCAAATGCTCGCCACAATAATATATGTCTATATTATTGAAAAGTAGTAATACGCAATCTGACTTACGGTTTCTTCAGGTTTATTCTTAGTTACGGATACATAAAACAACAAATGATGTTACAGGATAATGGACATTCAACAGCAGATGGTAATTGCTGGACTTCTGATGGGAGAGTTACATCGTTGTACAGAGCCAAGCCAAGACAAGACTAGACTGAGAGACCTCGTGTCCCTCTGTTACTATATAGAAGTGCTAATACTAACATCAGCATATAACTCTAGCCATATAAGGACAAAACCCCCACATCCACATTCCAGAGCTCTCGGACAAAGAAAGCCTTGTGACTTATTGATACCATCTGTTACTTATGTCAATCCACACATCCATATATATAATCAATAGAAACATAGAATATGCAATATTCTACATTCCCTCTGTTTATGGTTTGTTTTAAAACCATAACACAATGTAATTAACCTGTCCATTCATACATCACTTGTATCACATTCATTGAGCATAGAACAAGATGTAGTCACAACTTTCTATTATATGAGAGTTCTTAGAAGGTCGAGTTTCTATCCCTCATACTGCTTACTTTACTTCAAATTCCCTCTGTTTCAGCTATGTATTGATATCCATATCCATGTTACATCATAACTACTTGAACATAATATATACATATATCACAATAATAAATGAATAAAATAAAATATTTACAAATGTTGATCCAATAAACAATAAAGCAATCAGAAAGATCTACCTGCTCAGGTACAATCATGTCTTTGTAGACAACAAAATCAAGATCGTAACTTTCTAAATAATAATAACTGTGTATCACTATCATATTCCTACAGACACATATAGCATAGTATTTTCATTCTCAATACCTGATATTACTTAAGTACTAATACATGTATTGCTTGTATATCCGTGCACTTATATTTCCATGAATCATATGGTTTCTAGCAACCTTAAAATCTTTAGGTCATTTGTATTCAAGAATTGCATTCCTATACCATTAATACCACCTAGTGATGATTGTACCAGTACTTTACAATCATAGTATTTAATTTGTATATTCAGTAGGCTCTAACTACCTGAAATATATCAACACTACTTATAAGTCTCATTCAAAGGATGTGTTATCAACCATGAAGTTCTATAATAATTCTTCAAATAATGTTCATGGTGTTGACAATACTTATTGTCCTAGAAATTCTCCACCCAGAAATCTTTCTATCATAGATTTGTTTTTGTTTACATAATTATAATTTTCACTAAGATTCCACCTTGTTGTAACAAACTTTACATTCAATCGGAGAATGGTTTACTTTAAAAGAACTTGGAAAGAATACTTTAAATTAATTATCATCACTCTCCTCATTAGACCTTAATTGTGATGACTTATTAATGTAATACATCTTAAAAGCAGGATTGTCCTAATGTTCTGACCAATCCATATTCCTTAGTACACTTCAACTGACTAAAATAAAATAAACAAAAATAAACTTGGGGTCATACTGCCCAGAAACTCTTATTCCTAGTCTGTGTCTAACAAACTCAGGGAAATCTTAAAACAACGTATTCATTGGATATCACCATATCCAGAAACCTATTCTCCCTAGTCCACACCTTTATAGACTTAGGTCAAATATAATTGTGTACTATACTCTTTCCATTCAATTCAATTCCTCTTGGATCTCTGAACTCTTATATCCAATGCATTCTTAATGTATACTATTACTTAATATTAATCAATATAAATTATCCTTCCTTAGTTTTCTTCCTTTTATTACCATTGTTTGTTTTACTTCAACTATATAAACAAATTACTCATTATAGTTAATCTATGAAATACTATTGAACTCAATCTTTGTGGTATTAAGTAACCATGATCCTTATTTTATCGACTTCATATTTTATCTACCTCTGATACGTCTCATTCTATGTATAGGTAATAATATAATAGTTCTTTTCAAATACTATCTTTTCGTGATTGTACTCCATGTGTTATATAGCTATAAGTACTCTCTTTTGGTATTAATACTCATAACCGTTAAATAACTTTTCATTGTCTGTTTTCTTCTTCATTAATATTTAGGAATATATATGTATGTTAGTGTCAATCTTTTATTTCTTTTTTGGTCTGTTAATCTTCTGTATTGAATGAACTCTGTAGAATCTTCCATCACAGTTTGCCGATCAGATGAAAAGTCTCTTTCCTACAGTCGATGTCCAGTTATCTGAAGGAATTCTTTCCTGATTTATTGCCACAAGGATCTGTCACGCTTTACCTACATTAAAACAAAAACCATGTGCAGCATCAATACAATGGCTTACAATGTTTATATCTCATTATTATTACACAGTTTAACATTGAATTATATTGACTACACAAAACATACTAATTTCTTCTCATGAGATCTACCATCTAGTGGTCATTACATTTATGCCATGTGATGTATAATCTTTAAATTTCCTTTATATTCAAATCTTTCTGAACATTTTATTAATCACACCTTTTTATTAATCATACCTTATTAATCATACCCCCCTTTAAACTGTTTAATAATCTGGAAGTATAACCTAATCACATATCAGATGTTACAACAAAATATTGTTTTCCACTATACTTTAGCAATAGCAGCCATTTTGTCTTAACACTGGCACCATTTTGTCACATGAAACAAACTACAAAAAACATATATTGTTTCCTACATCAAATGTATTTGTAAATCTAGGTTTTATTCTATCAAAACTTTTGTCTTCTATATAATCAAAACATATGTATGTCTAGGCTTTGCAATATATAGTAATCCATTATCAGTCATGATATTAAAATCTCATTCTCATGAATTAAATCAAAGATTTTAAATCAACCTCAGAAGTAACAACATTGTTTTTACCTTCTGTAAAATGATTGGAGTTACTGTATAATTGCATACACCCAATATAACATTGCATGTTCCTCACTGCTACATTAGTGTATTTCATTCTGCCATATTTGCAAACTTGATGTAAATTTCTATTTTAATTAATTAACCTAATACTTCCTTATAACACACATAAAAACAATGAAAAACAGTTCAGACTAACAATTCATTAAAACAACAAACTAACATAGATCTCTATTCTTGTGCTGTTTTTAATTCTGGAATCAGCCTGTGTACATCTGTTGTCACACATATCCATGCTCATTCCCTAAATTGATCATATCTCTTGAAGTTATCTGATTCTTATAACTTTCTGAGTTGCACTGCATTGCTTGTCTGTCTCCTAATTTCGATTTAGCTAAAATTGCTTTTTTTTGTCTGATTATCAGTTTACAAGGAAAGGCTTTAATTGATTTATCTCCACATGCATTTTCTCTGTCAAAATTTTCAATCAACAAATTTAATTTCTCATTTGCTTTTGATTTGATATCTCGGATAAAATATCTGCAAGATCTTAAATAATGTTGTTTATTGCACCAAAAACAAATAACTTTAGGAGTTATATTCTGCATTTGATTTAAGCAAATTGGGAGTGGCTCTGCTGTCTGTATCACTCTTTTACACTGAGTCCACGAAGAAGAAGAAGGAGGTGTGTAAAATCTGCACTTCTTCCTCTGCCTAAATCCACAAGTCGTTTTAACCCCTTCATTCTTGGTTTCCCTCCTTAAGTTATCCAAGAACAAAGCTACTTCTGTCAAAGTGCTTTTTTCTCTTGCTAACACAATTGCAGTTGGATCTAGATCTTGAAATTTTTTCACAAATTCATTAATTAACTGATCTTCAGAAAAATCAGCAACAAGTCTATATGCACTTTCAAATTTTGCAAGAAAACTAAATATATCCTCTCCTTTGTGTGGTTTTAGTTTTTCCAACATTTCAGTGTCTGCAAAATCATTCCCTGTTGTTAATTTTATTAATTGTGTTAATCTGTCTCGCTTATTTCCATATATTATTTCATCATTGTCCTCGAATTTTACAGGCGCGGTCAGCCTACATGCCATTTGAGTCGGCAGCCATATTTGAAATAGTCTATTCCTTTGTTCGTCATTTAGGCTGTATTTGTCTAAATTAGACTCAAACATTTCAGCATTAGTGAATGCATCCACTGACGTGTCATAAACTGGAATACATTTCACAATTTTCATTAATTGTTCATGGATCTTCAAATTAAGTTTTGCAGTTCTGTCTTGAAATTTGCATTTCTGCAAATCACTCTGTGAGGATACATTTTCAGTATCTATTGGTTCTGGGATTAGATTCTGTGCCTGTATTTTTCTTGTATTAACACACACTAGTTTAACTTCATTTCCAAGCTGGCAAATAAGATCATTTCTTAATTCAACTCTATCCTCTAATTCACAGACTTTTTCTGACAATGTTCTCTCTGTTACATTGTTACACTGTTCATTTAAATCTGATTTGTCTTCTGTTAACCCATTCAAATCTACTTCTTTTTCTGCTAATTCTAAATTGTCTTGACCTGCATCTCGTTTACAAATCAATGCACTGTAAGTACAGACTAGTTTCATAACATTTCTGATCTTTTGTTTTTTCTTATTAACAAACAATTCCTTGTCAATTTTACTATTGGCAATTTCACATTGTGTGTATAAAGATTGCCACAATACAGCATCTGAATAGCTGCTATTACATGCAAACTGCAATTTACTTTTCTCTGCAATATCATTTATGAATTCCATGTTACTCACCAGATCAGTTATTTCTGTCTATTTCGTTGCTTCATCCACACAGCTGCGCAGTTCTTTGCTTGGACGCTTGCCAATGTCTGCCACGTGCTTGCTTCTAGAATTCACGTTGTATCTTGTGCTTTTTGTCTCAGTTGTAGAAAATAGTCTTGTACAGTCTTTGATTTGAAAACTTTCTTTTTCTTACAAACACAGTCTAGATTCTTTTTTTTCTCTTCAAGTTTGTTTTCCCAGTTCCAAAATAGCTTTGTAACTCGATTCTTCTCTCTCCCCCCTTGAAGTGGGAACAAAACTTGAATAGAAGACTGGCTGGCTAGCCAATGTAAAAAATGTAGATGAATGGATGTTCATGTAGACTCTTTCTTAATTTCTTCTTGTCTTCAGTTGATTGATATATATACGTCTTTTGTATATATATTCTTGGGCCAAATGCTCGCCACAATAATATATGTCTATATTATTGAAAAGTAGTAATACGCAATCTGACTTACGGTTTCTTCAGGTTTATTCTTAGTTACGGATACATAAAACAACAAATGATGTTACAGGATAATGGACATTCAACAGCAGATGGTAATTGCTGGACTTCTGATGGGAGAGTTACATCGTTGTACAGAGCCAAGCCAAGACAAGACTAGACTGAGAGACCTCGTGTCCCTCTGTTACTATATAGAAGTGCTAATACTAACATCAGCATATAACTCTAGCCATATAAGGACAAAACCCCCACATCCACATTCCAGAGCTCTCGGACAAAGAAAGCCTTGTGACTTATTGATACCATCTGTTACTTATGTCAATCCACACATCCATATATATAATCAATAGAAACATAGAATATGCAATATTCTACAACAACTTCTCAATTCCTTGGAATGTCTACATGTCTCTGTATCTCCGCAACCTTGGCTGGAAATTCCAGACTCCAAAAATAGTTATGCTGTTATAATTCCTTATTTTTAATCAACAGCTAGCGTAACTGACAGTATGGAAATTATCACTGTTTTATAAAACTTTTCATATATATAGTGGACATTAGAATCCACAACGCAGTAATGCAATAATTAAAAATCCTGTCTGTCTGTTGCATGAATGTTTTCATTAAGACATAATGCAATTTTCTTTGCATTCTTGGAATTAGACTTCAAATTTCATCGCTGTCTTATCACTTTTCTTTTGACAACATTTTGCATTAATCTTTTTCCTGCGCATGCATACTAAGCAGCTACAAAGAGAACATATCCCCCTGTTTGCAATCCACTGTCCTGGAACTAATGGGCTATGCTGTGCTGGTGTATTAGGCATATCAGGGAGTTTACCAAATATGTATATTTGTTCTCTTATGGTATTAATTAAGATCCACAATTTAAGCATTGTATGCTAATTAAGATGTACCTGGCACCTGAACTCAAAATGCTTTGTTCACATTAAAATCATCTCTAATGATGAAGATCTCTCTCTGAGTCTGGGCTACAAATAGCTCAACAGATTCTTGATAAGACTTGTGCCATGACAAAGTATTGTGTCTTCTCTTACGTATAAGAGGTTACCTAGGTATTTATCATTTTATATTTAAAGCTTCCAAGTACAAAGTCCCTTCGTGGTCTCCAATTGTAACCACATGTGGTTCCCTTATTTACCACTATAATGTCTTAAAGCATAGAACTTAGTAGGTAACCATACAGATATCTTAGCCATAATTTTATATAGTTAGTAAGAGATCCTCTATTTAACATATATAAATAATTGAGAATACAATATAAAATAAAAATTGTCTTGGAAGCAATAGTTTTGTCTTTTTGGATATTTATTATATAAAAATATAAATATAAAATCCATTATAGCAGAGTTTATAAGATTAAACTAAATGCTTGCAAATATCATTAATA